TAGAAACATTAATTTTGGCCACTTTTAGGTTCGGTACCCCCCTAAACCCCCCTCAAAATGAGTTTTACCTTTTTTGGAGGTCAAAAATGAAAAGAACGCTAAAAATTACTCCCAGTTACCAATTTTCATTAATATTGGTTCATAAACCTTGTCACACTGTTAAAAAGGCGATTTTTTTCTTCAACTTTGAGGGGCCGTGGCCCCCAGGGAAAGCGTTTTTGGAAGGAACGTTATACAACAAAAATACCTTTTTTTGACCCGAAGAATCGACTCCTTGAATATTCGTACTCAATCCTCGGACACCCTGTATTGCCCGTAATTACGGATTCCGGAGCCGGAGTTTTTTTCGAGTGTGAAGTGTTTTATTTCCGGATGAATCCCGGTTTTCCACCACCATGATTGAAAACAGCGAACTGTCGGGATTCCAACCCGGACCAAGCTTAAATTTCCTTCCGGAGCAGGAGCCAGCGGACCGCGGTATTCCGGAGCGAGACCTCCCATTGTGCGGCGGGGTGTAATCCCTACCCTTCGCTTGTCCACCGCTCTAATCTCCCCGAGCTTCTTCCGCTCCTCTTTTTCCCGGGATTTTATGGTGCTGCCATCTGTTGCGAACTTTATCAAGTACGTTTAACGGCGCGGCGTCGGTCGTTCGTTCCGCAGGTGAAACTCTTTTAACGACGCGGAGCGCTCCCTTCTTACGGAAGAGAGCAGCGAGTGGAGTCTGCGATGAGCCTTGAGACGCATTACAGCAAGCGCGAACCGTGGCTCATACGGAAATGCAGTTAGGGCTCTCTTCCGTAACATGGTGGAGCGTGTCGCATCGCTCACTCAAGAACAAGGCACGCGGGCCGACACACAGTGGATCGCGTCAATTAGAAAAGTCGGACATGAAATTTTTTACTAAAACTGCAAATTTTGATGTTTATTTCGTCACATATTAAATTTCAAGGGGTGTTTTGGACAGAAAATAGCACGAGAAAACCAATGGAACCACTTTCAGAACCTCAAAAATTCGTATAAACGGAGTTATAAGCGTTTTAAAATTTCCAAATTATGTCCGGCCTCTCCTATTGACTCGACCCACCGCGCGACACTCTGTTTACTCGTAGCGACGCGACGAGGGAAGAGAAACGAGCATGCTTCGAGCTTTTCCGGTGTCTCCTGCGAGAGGGTCTCACGTGTGTCGTAACTTTCAAAATGCCCTCCCGGAATACCGCCGGTGCTAAGGAAAAATGTCGTATGAGAATTCGAACGTTGCGCATCGATAAAATGTGTGACGTGCAATGTTGAAAATTTCGAGGTAGAATTCTGAGCCGGAGTCTACATAAGTGCTCCCATTTAATGGCCGTCAAAAGTTCCGGGAGCCTTCATAGATTTTTTTCAAAGTTCCAAGAAAGTTCCGGAAAATGCAAAAGATCCGGAACATTTCGGAAATCTCAAAAGTTTAAGGACAAGTTCAGGAAAATCTTAAAAGTTCCGAAATTCGGTTCTAGTGGAATGGGAGCACTGATCTATTCTGCCGTGCTAAGGAACGTCGTATGAACCTTCGGACGTTGCCAAATTTCCTGAGATAAAACAAAAATTCCTCGATAAACTTATGAATATTTTCTTTCCAATTTTACAGACAATTTTGTTCGCAATCTCACCTAAAGTTCCTGAAAATTTCGAGGATAAATATTCAAAACTTTCCTCAAAAATAAATATTTAATTGAAGGAAATTTGGCAACTCTCGAATGTTCATACGGCGTTCTTCCTTAGCACGGCAGTGTATAGCGCCCAAAAACCCCGAGTGATATGAATGTGGAGCGGAACCTATTCAGAGTAGATTTTTCACATTTGCGGATATATCCGTGCGGACCTTCATTGTATATCAGCATGGATCGCGTGCGGACCAAAAGCTTTAATGTAACGTTAATTATAACTTGAAACTTTAAGCGAATGCTCCTGAGAGTTTCAAAAATGTTTAGCATGGAAAACGGAATTGTTTTGTTTGATCCCAAACCGGTTTTTTCGCTGTACTGAATAGTAAGATTTTTCTTCCTGAGCACGTTTTGCTCTGTTGCGGTCACAAGTGTACTTTTGAAAAATAAGTTTTGAATATTTTACTTGAAGTTAACAGGTACAGCAGAAAAACAATTCAAGAAAATCCTCTGAAAACTTCGACACCAGTCATTAGGTTTACCAGTAAATTTGTACTTAATGGGAAAAATTTAACAACGTCCGAATTTACAGACACTTATCCATTGCAAAGCGCGATATACTCGCTTGCAATGGGCCAAAGAAGTTCGGTACAAATATGAAGCGAGGCTTGCCGCGACGTCTTCAAAACATTAAAATAACAGAACCTATGAATACAACTATTCGTACTCAAAGGATGTCCGGGTTGCGTAGGTTTTAAATGAAGGCGCTCCGGCTTCCTTTTGCCCACAGTGCAGCGATTATGTACGTCAAGGTATGCTACCGGAGTAAATTGGAACTTGACGCTTACGTCTTTCTTTTTTGTTCTGGTTTTGCTGGGCGCGTGAACGGTCCACCAAGTGAACCCTACGTGAAAAAGGAAAAATTGCAATGACTCCGTTAGCACGCCCTTAGGTCAAGTCAAGTTCCTGGTGATTTGTAAGTTGGAACTGCAATGAGCTAATAACGGGAAAAAGTTTACCAAGGGTGGCAAAGAAGTCGCCTTCGGAACCACTCGCTTTCCGGATTGCGCACGAGTAATGGAGATGTTGCATGTGTGAGGAATTTGCGATTTGACTGTTGATTCTTATGTAAATGTTCGCGAGAAACACGATGGTGCCACCGGTTTTCTCTGCAATCAACTCCCAAGCTCAAAAAAAGCTCTCAAGTTGAGGCCAAAATGGAGGGGATATCCATATCCCACGCTATCCTGAGAGTCCACCTCTACATCAAGACAAACTCTCCATGCAAAGATAGGGAGCAAATACATCAGCAGTGATGCCGTGTTTTCAGTTTTGAAGTCCCCAAATAAAGTGGCAGCCCTGTCAAAGTATTTGCTCCCTATCTTTGCTTGGAGAGTTTGTCTTGATGTAGAGGTGGACTCTCAGGATAGCGTGGGATATTCCCTCCATTTTGGCCTCAACTTGAGAGCTTTTTTGAGCTTGGGAGTTGATTTCAGAGAAAACCAGTGGCATTATCGTGTTTCTCGCGAACTTTTACGGAAGAATCAACAGTCAAATCGCAAATTCCTCACACATGCAACATCTCCAGTGGACCGCGATAAGCAGAAAGGAACCAAGCTACATCATTTATTGCAAAATTGAACTGGGCAATTTAATTTTTTACATGGAAACGGTTGTGCGGATTTGTATGCAAATTTCAGAGAACGTTCTGCATAGGACGAAGGAAATTCCTTAAATTTTTTTTTTAAAAATCTGCACAAACGCCCTCTTGTAAAAAAATTAAATTACTCGGTTAAATTTGGCAACAGCTGATGTGGCCTGGCTCTTTTCTGCTGAACGCGCGGTCTATTTGTAGGTAGGAATCCATTATGAAAGCTTACGATAGTTTTTCAGATGGAAGGGCCTCCAGAAATAACAAACGCAGAAATCCTATACTTCAATGGAATTGGAGAAATTGTCACATTTTTTTTTTTTTTTTGTAGAATTAAACTTGCGGGACGAGAAACGTCAGGGGCTGAGAAAGGCATCATTTTCACCACACCCCTTAATACGGCCCTGGATAGCGCGCATTGGCGCGGGAAATTGGAGATTGAGTATGGGCAGCAACCAATCGATGCGTATTTCGATGCATCTTGGCTCCGATTCAGAATGCAATTTTGGAAGCATCTGGTGCAGCGCGCACCCGCGAATAAAAATGATGAGGAGATGACAACTATATTGATGGCTCAACTCCAAAACCATGCATCTTAAATACGGCTCTTGAAAATTTCCAAGCGTATTTTATTTTTATGGGAGAAAACAAACCTGAATCTAAACTTCAGATTTTCTTTGATTTCTTTTCTGTTCACTTGTCACTGTAAATATTTCAAGTGATAAAGTTGTCTCTTTCTCAAAAAGAAAAAAAGGAGCAATGCGTGGAATACGCATCTCAAGTATGATTCTACAAAATTTTCAAGCGATTTTTATTCTTATGAGAAAAGAAAAATCTTAATTATAACTTGAAATTTTTTCTTTGATTTCTTTTCATTTCACATGTCACTGTGAATATTTCAAGTGATAAAATTGTCTTTTTTTTATTCCTTGAAAGAAAGGAGGCATGCGAGAAAAGTCTGAAACGTTGAAACTGAGCTACGTGATTTTAGAGTTTGACCATCGATATCGCCGTTTCCAGAGCGAAAGAACGTAATTACATTTCAGTTATGTCAAATTTTCATTGACAAATTGTGCATTTACACGGACGGAATTAAATTTTCGGATGTATCTAATTGTAAATCTCGCTAAATTTTCGTTAGATATCCATATCACGCTACAATCCTTAGGGCAGAAATTTCGGACTTACATTCCTTTTAATTACTTTCTTTTTAGTCCATGTTTTAACCCCCTGAGAATGAAAGGACCCTTCGACCCTCCGAACAAACAGCATACACTTATCTCAACGTCACTAGATTTTACAACTCCTAATTTTTTGACGAGCTCTCAAGTTCACTCAATCCACACATTTCTCTGCTTTAATATTAAAAATAAATTTAAAAAAAGAAAAATTGAAAAAAAAACTATCCTTTAATATTAAAGATAATTCAGAAAAAATCGAGAAAAAGCGCAAAAGGGCGCGTATTTTTTTCTACTAGCTAAACATATAAGACGATGCGCAATCTTAGCGACATAGACATATATATATATGCTGTTTAGTTAGAAACGTCCTTATAAATGTGTTATACACCGAAGGAGGAGTCCTAAATCGTACTTTCCAGTATTAAGTCGTCCATTTCGAGGCAGGGAGTTAGGCGCCTTTTTAACGCCGAAACAAGTAAAAGACACTTACCTAAATTACTTTTAAAGAAGAAAAAAAACACATTTTACCTGCAAACTGCGTTCCCTCATTCCCTGGGCTTTCCAACAATTGCTGAGAGCTGAATTTATCCAACAAAAACGCGATACTCAGGAGACGGAAAACACCCAACACTTGCTTTCTTTTCCTCTAAATCAATTTACCCGACTATCAAGTTTTTGCGCGGCTGAAACGCCCGACAAACAGGCAGATTGACACTCCGCAAACGAGACACTTTACAGCTTCACAGAACGAATTAAATAACGGCCAACTTCACAGGAAGCACGAATCAAGTTTCAGCGATTCGAAGAAAAAGTTCCTCGCAAACGTCCCGACGATCACTTTAATGAAGTCCAAGAATCAACCTCACTTTGAGACTAGGTCTTCGTTAGGGAAAGCGTTCACTCAATAACAAAAGGTGATAAAATCCAAGAATGAAAACTACGATAGCGTACGAGAGATACTGGCCGCTCTCGTTGTGGGTTACTTTCCTTCATTCATCATTTTCCTGAATCATTTTATCGCACGAATCGACGGGTGTATCAAGTCTCGGTCGAGGATGCGAACGAAAACCAGTTTCGCGACAACTTATCGACACAAAAACAAAAGGGAACGCACACAGCATTTCAAGTCTTCATGGTGTAGCTATGTCGTTGATCACTTTCCGAGGGCCGAGTGAACACGATTCCTCTACGAGGCTGAAGCGCAAAAAAGGCTACTTTCGCGGATATAGAAAGCCAGAAAATGCCAGAGCTTCTCCGTTATTGGAAACGCGGAGAAGGTTACATACGCGGAATCTCGCGGTTATTCAAAACGCGGAAAAGGTCGCGGGCACGGTGCTCCGCGGTTATTTTAAGTGCGGGAAAAGGTCACTTGCTCGAAGTCTCGCAGTTATCAGAGAACCCGAAGCTTCGCGGTTATTGAAAGCGCGGGAACGGTGATTTCCGCGGATTTCGCGGTTATTCAAAACGCGGGAGAGGTTACTTGCGCGGAGGTTCGCGGTTGTTGGAGTCGCGGAAAAGGTTATTTTCGCGGTAGCCTCGCGGTTAATGAAGACGCGGAAAAGGTTATTTTCGCGGTTAATGGAGACGCGGGAAAGGTGATTCGTGAGGCGCACGCGACGGAGACACGAGGCTGCGTGGCGGGTAGAGGCGTCCACACGGTGTCGCGACCCGACGACTTCTGCAGGAGCAGTCGACGCGCCGCGCCCGGCGAACGGTCCGCTCGCCCAGACCACCCCCGCCCCCGCCCCCCGCTGCACCTGCCCCGGTTTCCCGCGAAATTTCGCCACCTCCCCCCGCGCGGGGGTTGCTCCGGGCTCCAGCTCCCCGTGGCTTTCATTCATGATCCACGCTACTAGTCTAAGCCGATCACACCNGGGGGGGGGGGGGGGTGAGGGAAAAGAAATGAAAGGACTGTAAAATCAGGTCGTAAACTAAGTTAATGGGTTTTATGAGAGGTGGAACGTGCCACGGAATATTGGTCGAGAAACACCGCTTTTTGGGGGATTTTTCCATGTATTTTTATTATTACACGATCTTTCACGACGACGAAGGAGGGGTTGCGATTGGGGCCTCCTCTGCGGAACTGGGACATTTTTGAATAGTTGGCAGTTAACAATGTATATTTTACGGGAATAGTCGGGTTTTGCTGATGTTAACATTTTTCGGCTCCGAAACAAGGGCCTGAACATGGCTCTTGAGCCCAAAATCACGGAAAATTTGCGTTTTGGGGCATACCTACTACCTCAGATTTTGCCCTAGGCACAAAGGTGACATGTCGTGAGCTTCGAGCATGTTATTGTGAGGGATACCTAGAGACGTAACATTTTAAAATACGGTCACCTATGACCTTAGGGCCCATGTCGAAATCTGAGGAAAAACGGCGAAAAACATGAGTTTTCAGCTATTTTGGAGTAAAAAAGTCCCGAACGTCAAAAAACATGAGTTTTCAGCTATTTTGACGTAAAAAGAAAAGTTCGATCTTGAACTTGGGCCCAACGGTGACAGGTAGCCATGTTCTCGTATGTAGCGTCTCTAAGTTTCCGTCACAGCATATTCGAAGCTCATGGCCCTTCATCTTTGAACTCAGTGCGAAACCTGCGGTGAAACGTTTCGGCTCAAATCGGAACCACTCCTTTAGAAATGTCTTTTTACTGAAACCGAACCATGAGACGAGTTCATTTTTTAATTTCGATGAACGATGAGCTAAATACTCCTACTCAGATCTCACGTGTGTCCATTGAATCTGTGTTGATCGACTCTCTTTTTTATTTCTCGTTCGATTCATGTCGATAGAATACATACCCTCTCGTGACATGCAGACCACCGATCATACCCTTCTTTTTTTAACTACCATAATTCGCCTTCTGCTGCGTCTGCAGCAATCGTTGTTGCGAATATGTTGTGCGTGCTGATTTCAGCCCATTACATACTCGAATCTTTGAAGGCGTTTTATGGGCACAAGTAGCGAAATCTGTCGCCAACAGGGTGCTCTACTTTCGCACATTAAACGCCTTCAAAGATTCGAGTATGTAATGGGCTGAAATCAGCACGCACATTATATTCGCAACAACAATTGCTCCAGACGCAGCAGAAGGCGAATTATGGTAGTTAAAAAAAGAAGGGTATGATCGGTGATCTGCATGTAACGAGAGGGTATGTATTCGATCGACATGAATCGAACGAAAAATAAAAAAGTGAACCGATCAACAGAATCAATGGACAAATAAATAAAAGAGCGGATCAAAATCAGTAGAAAACTTGTATTCACTATGAAAATTTCAAAGTGCGATAGCTCGAAATTAGGAGGGTATGAATTCGATCGACACGAATCGATCGAAAAATGAAAACGTGAATCGATCGACAAATTGTTAAAAAACCGGTGTCGATTCGATCGACATGAATCGATCGAAAAATGAAAACGTGAATCGATCGACATGAATCGATCGACACCGATTCGATCGACACCGATTCGATCGACAAATTGTTAAAAAACCGGTGTCGATTCAATCGACATGAATCGATCGAAAAATGAAAACGTGAATCGATCGACACCGATTCGATCGACAGTTAATTTAAAAACACCCGTATCGATTCGATCGACATGAATGGATCGAAAAATGAAAACGTGAATCGATCGACGTGAATCGATCGACTCACGGGTTTGCCGAATTAGATACTAATCAGAGCACAATTATCATGTATAAAATTAAGAGCAATATTTGACCGGAAGCCATTTTGAAACGTGTGAGAGATACCGAGTAACTTCTTTCTTACAATATATCACGAAATGGGGGTCAGTATCCTCCCCTTACAGTACCCAAAACTAAGTCCCCCTCGCATATGCGTCACGTGGCGCCAAAAGCCGTGGCCGAATGAACAGATACAGTTTTAATACACACAGGCATGTTCAGCTCCCAAAGAAGCCCCTTCAATTAGTAGATAGGCAACTTACACAACGCTCCAATGCAATGGCAGTAATTTTACCTTTAAGTCGGTGATGAATTGCAACCTACGCTACTTGGGTTACCAAGTAATTTTGCATGGAGGAGTACAATGACTTGGGGTGAAAATTCTCCAGTATTCACAACAATTCAAAACATTCAATAGTCTTTGGATGCAAGAGTGCACATGGTGATTTCTCGACCATTCATTTATGGATATTTACTGGAGATTCAACCATTCAACTCTGTTTTTAAAATTTTATCTACAAGGAAGTTGGGAAAGCTACTCATTTGGTAGGAAAATAATTTTTAAAATATACTAGGGCCTGGGTTCACTTGCATAGGTTTCTTCGACGGTAATTTTGCGTTTCTCACTGTCGCCTCTCCCACAAGTAGGTAACGTAATTGATGATAATCTTGCATTGGAAATCAAAATAAATTCTGTAATCAAAGTTCTTAATGCAGACTCACATGCAAGAAATTATAAGTGGATGACATCGAATCACAAAAAAGAATAAAAATTTAGATTCCTTATTTAAAGTTGTCAATGTTTTCAAAATCAAATTCGGGAGTAAAAAGAACAGAAGTCTGAATGATGAAGCTGCTAGTTTTTATTTAAGTTTTTCAATGATTTACACTATTCTATGGCATTGTCAAAAATTAAAATGACCAACGAACGATAAAAAAAAGAAAAAATTAGATAACAATACATAAACTCAAAATAAAACAACAAAGTTGGAGACAAAATAAGGTGATGGACTGGGTGAAAAAATAAGAATCCACGATCGAGAAGTAAAGTATAAATAATAATATTAACAAACTAAAACTTGCTTACAGCATACAGACCCGCGAGATCCTCAGGTATAAGCGAATTTTAATAAAAGCCGCCCAAATGATATCGATTTTTTTAGCCAAAATTTGCAAAAACATTAGGTTTTCAATCAACCGACCGTTAGTTTTGCATCAAGAGTGCATGGCAATACCTCCTCCTCCTAACCATCCCTGTGGAAACTGAGTACATCTTACTCCACTGCCTGGTGTTACTCTCCAGTGTACACACAGTACCATGCAGCCAGGAATGGGGGTATGAAATTTGCACCAATTCCTCCAAAACCAAAAACCAAATTGCCGAACAGAGAAAGTAGAGCTTTTCCAGTGCTTGCATTTAAAAGTATCAAAAGTATAAAATTTAAGAGTACTTTGGTTCATGTTGCTCTAACCCAAAAATTTCATTCTCTTAAAAATGAAAATGAAATCTGGAGAGAAAAACATGACTAGAAAATGAAGAGAGCTTGTACAGTCTCAGTGACCTAATCAAATAAGGCACACATTTGATGAAAAATAAGAGTATTCTAGGAGAGGCAAGACTGAATAAGCCTTAACTAAAAAGACAGTGGTGTAACAGGAAGAGCCAAATGACTCATGAAAAGTTAGGTCTATCTAACCAGCCGCTTGACCTACTTCTTGGCATTTGCGATATTATGAACTAAAGAATGGATAATTTATTCGTGAGACTGCATTTTCCAACAAAAAAACTTTCATGGAATAAATATCAAGTTTTCCTCATCTGATTTCATTCCTTAAAAAAACATGTTTGATGCAGAATTTTTGATGGAAAATAATATTTGGATGATGAACGTCGTATGTTGTTTGTCTTACTATGTACACTTTGATTTACTCATGGGGGAGGTTCAATAGTACATTTTAGTTAGGCTTATTGTTGATAATTATTAAAAAATTGGCTCATCCAGTCATCTGATTCAAGTCAATTGATAAAATGTAAAAAATAATTTCACACTACCTACAAGGAAGACATAACATTAAAAAACAGCATTTGCACAGTCTCACCAAAAAATCGTGAGAGTATAGGGCTCGCATTATTTAAGGGTCTGCCATCCTATTTAAAAATATACACTATCGAGTGGGCAGTTAGTAACAATTGTCACTTCTAGGAGAAAAATTTTGGTCTGAAGTCATTAATTGCACAAAAAATTAATTAAAATTCATAAATTAGATAAATCATTATTTGCATTGAGTTCATACGAATAAATTAACAACGTTTTCAACATTGGTCTTCACAGCACTCATCGATGGGTAATCCATGTTGGTGCAGCGATGTTTGTTTCAAGGACTCTCCTCACAGTGATGCGCTCATCAAAGCAATTTTTGGCATTGTAAAAAAGTAAGAGAGCCTCAATGGCTTGATCCTCCATCTGTAAAATAAGAAAAATTATAGGATGATTTTGATAGATACATTCTGACAAGATTAAGACAAAACTCTAAATCGATAGAATAAGTGAAAAAGAAATATTTAATGACAAAAATAAACTTCAACTTTTCTACTAGCATCATCAGGTGCAAAAATTACCTCTCATGAAAATAATGGAATTGGTAATAGTGGACAAAAATAACTTGGGAACATGATAGCTCATGAGCATTTTATCTGAAGAAATGTTTCAACAATCTCTCTCCACAAGTTGAGGGATCTTAGTAAGACAAAGTCTTTACGCCTGAGGTTGATACTCTTGGTGTTCACTAAATCTTGAAATTGCTATGTGAGGATCAAGCTATCTCTGCATGGGACTCTTTTTACCCGACATCTTGCTCATAAATGCAGTTTTCAGCATTATAAAAAAGTAAGAGAGTTTCCACAGCCAAATCTCTTGACTTTACAATATGAATGAATAGGTAATATGGTATCAATTCTTGTGTTCGTTGCAAAATTAGGATTGAATGGAAAACTATCATCGAAAGGTAGATAATTATTTCTTACCACTGATCTGAAAAAACTCTGCAAGAAACATAATTTTAGAAAATCAATGACGAAAGTTGAGAAATGTGTACCTTCCTTGTAAAAAATTCATGGTAAAGTGTCAAAAATTGTGCAGTATGCTACAACATAGTGGTACCTTCATTAAGGTCTTTCATTATTCCTGACAAGGTTTCATTTAAAATCTTATTGAAATTTTCTGTGAATATTCTTGAATGCACAAAGAAAATTCACATAAACAAATTGAAGAATTAATAACAGTTGATTAGTTTTTTTTTTCTTTTTTTTAAATATGAATATGAGTGATAATATGTAAATTAAAATATAGCCATCAAATAGATTCATTTTTCAACTTTAACCATGGACGCGCAGAATTTTACACTCAACAATTATTGTAGAGCAACAGTACATTACCTGAATCATGGAGAGAGGCTTGGACCTCATCTTCTCTAAATTATCACGCTTCTTTTGTTCATCTGCGATTATTTCAGAAAAACTCATTTCTACCTCCTTCGAACCAGAACTGAAACAAAATTGAAGTAAGATCCAATTCTCTTTAGAGTTTTTTGCCGACGGTTACATTTAATTCAATTGGGATAGAAAATTATATTTTAGCCAGTTATTTTTCAAAAAAAAGAAATTCTCTTCAGTGCATTCAGTCAAAATTTTCCAAAATTCTTCACTGAGGATTGAAATATTGGAAAAATGCTTCTATTGGTAAATTGGTCAGTTTATGTTTTTAGAAATGTTCTTCGAGAAGAAGTATTCAAATGTTGCCATGGATTTCACACAAGTTGATAATGGTTCAGGTACTACTCAAATACCATTGCTCTTCTAGTGTAAGAGCGTATCTCCCATTTGACTTAAGATCTGACAAGCATGGAGTTATACAAACGACAGGGCTCGCATGCAAATGGAGATATGCCCTTACGTCAAAATTGGTTGAAAAATTTGAGCATTCTTACCTGCTACTTTGCTTCTCTTGTTTCATGACACTGTCCAAGGAGGTATCAGTTGGAGAGTTAATACAGCCCCAAGGCGATTTAGGAGATGCTGGGGATTCGCTTAGAAATGATTGAGGATCAGGTGGCGTTTCAACCTTCCTCTCTTCAACGAATGTATCCCCGATAGAGAAGACTGTCTTCTTTGGCTTCCCTTTCTTCCAGTCACTGAAAAAGTAATGAAAAATAAGACATGATTTAAATAATGAGGAAGCTATATTAATTCAATTTTGGCATTTCCTTCATCCCTCCTCGTCTTTTATTCCACCTTGGAGGCAAATGACATACTGGGTTAGGGTATTACTGTAATACAAAACCATGGTCTAAAAAATAGAAAATTGTGGATCTTCGATTGCATTCTTTTATTCATTTCAGTAATATTACCGCTCCTGCCATGTCTAAATAGACAAAAGACATACTGGGTTAGGGTATTACTGTAATACAAAACCATGGTCTAAAAAATAGAAAATTGTGGATCTTCGATTGCATTCTTTTTTTCATTTCAGTAATATTACCGCTCCTGCCATGTCTAAATAGACAAAGGCTCAGAGCAATAGTGGGAAGACAAATTGTCGGCTTCCCGTGGTGTGGTGGTTGTAGCGCTGGCTCTATAACCCGGGGGTTCCAAGTTCCATTTCCGGCTAGGCCACTCGTATTTGATGGTCTCAAATATTGGTTGCCTTGGGCTGGTTGTGCAGTGGGAACTGAGAGGGAATGGGGCTCTAATTGAAAGCTCAGGATTAACACTTGAAGTAGTAAAAAGTACAATACAAACATTAAAAGAGATAAAATAAAAATTTAATATTACTGCAAATGCATAATGAAAGAAAGCAAAGAAAAAAAATTAAAAATGCACTAAAAGAGAGAGGAAAAAACTAAAAGCTGAGGCTCAAAGCATGGTCTTACCTTATAATGAGAGGCCAGAAGGAAGCAAGCATGCACTTGTGTGCTCAGGGTGCCAATAGGGCGCGGTTGTTTGTCCAAAATGCTTTAGATGTCCATGATTGTTGAAGATTGCAATCACAAGAAGGAAGAAAAGGGGGGCAAAAAGGTTAAGAATGAGGGATGAGGGGGGAATGTTAAAGAAAGGGAACCAGAAAGCCCCGATCTTTGTGCATTCATATCAAAAACTAATGCAAAAAAATAAAATTATTTTTTTCTCACAAGCCCATCCTGGTAAAGGGCGAGGAAACAAAGGAAAAAAAAACAGGAGAAAAATAGCACTAAACTAGAAAAAAACTGAAAAACACTACAAAGCAAAGCATGGTGTCTCACACAACGGCATGCGAAGATGTAACGATAGTAGTGAGGAAAAAGAGGTGCTGCTTAGCTCCCATGATAGCAAGAGAATGAAGAAAGCGCCCTTTACATGCTTCGATCAGACCAATTTCTGGGCATCGATGCCAGATCTCTCAGTATCTCCCTTGCACCTTCCTCCGTGGTGCAATTACCTTCGGAATACCCATTGTGTTTATTCCATTCCTCATCGTTAGTATTTGTTACAACTAATGGATAAAAGCTGATGAGTTTTCTCTAAATACTAATTGGATTACATTTTGCAATAAGGAACCACTGTCAATGGCTCGCCATAAAAGCACATATCAGCATAGGAAAGCCAATGGCATGTATGTTGTTTATAAAATGGGCCAGAAATAGTGGTTCTTTATTGCAAAATGTAATCCAATTATGAGTAATTTTGGTGCTTACCTGCTTCGAGGCTGATTAAATAATTTAACTGATGCTTGACCACTCCAACAGGAACCTAGAGATGGAAATGCTTGTTTGTCTTCTAGCGAAGGGGTTGGGATATCACAGACTTCTTCACTTCGGGGCGGAATGTTGATGGGGGCAGATCTACTAACTGGCACCAGCTCAGTCATCTCACAGCCACGAACAAGCAGATTTGGGTCATTTTTCGCCATGGAATTAAGCCTCAGCCGCGACTGAACTTTCTCAATTTTTATCCAACTTGCTTCATTTTCCTCAGCTGTTGCTTGCGTTCCAAGGAATGTCTCCACTGAGTGGTCAGTCAAACGTATTGACTTCATAATACTTGACAGCGTCTCCATATCATTCTGCTTGGATCCAAATGAATCGCTTCTGGAAGACTTCCTTTGTCTCGATTCTGAACCGCTGGATTTCCTTGTCCGTGGCAGTGGTTTTTTTCGCGGCTTTTCTCCTGATTTTGGAGAGCATATTGTCTCAACAACATCATCATCTGAAAAAAAGGGGTTAAAATTAATTCTTTGATAAAAGATGTTTTATCAAAATCTGAAATCTGCCTGCAGAACAAAACCTCTCCATGTAAATGGTTTGCATCTTGCAGCTCAAAACTGGATAGTGAGAATCATCTGGGTTTAACAGCACTTTGAACTGTTGGAAAACTCTAATAAGGCAACTTATTTTATAGACCGTTGATTTAATATTGATGTATTACTGTTCCTGATAAAAAAAAAAGAAACTATTTTGACGGTGCTGAGATGATACTTTGAAATCCACTCCTCCTACTCTTCAAATAGCACTAAGGGCTGTTGTTTCTGGCCTTTGACTCTGAAATAAATTCTAAGATATTTGCTATATTAGTTGAATAATAAGATGTTTAGTACTGTTACCTTCAAACACATTCCACGGTAAGGGAGGACACATCTTGTTGAATTCTATGATCTCAGAAATTTGCCGATCACATCTAAATGGACTAATATGCCGCCAGCACAAATGCCTGTTCCTTTCTTGATAAACATCTGTCAATTCTTTTAAAATATCACTATCCAATGCTTCTAAATACCTAAGAACACAAGCAAATTAAGTCAGCATAAAAAAGCTAGCTAAAAATTGAAAAAATCCCCTCTGAATTTCACATTCATCTATATAAATAAAATCGTTTACAATAAAAGAGAGAAAATAGATTGCAATTTATAACTGAAGTTCACATTCATCAGACCAAATTGTAAGTAAGTTCTCAAGCTTTATGCAGCCTTCTCTGTGAATTTTGCAACTTAACTTCACTCTTCCTCTCAGTTTTCCATTTCGAATTTCTCAAGGTATCTGGGCAGAAATAACCCAGCCAGAGCTCTGACAAATTATGGTAACATACAGTCACTAAAGAAGGGAATATAAAAAGAAATGGGATCTTACCTGAGATCCAAAAGTTCAGCAATATTCTGACAAATAAAGGCAAAACAGAACTGTTTCAGCTGTGGGGCGCTGTGGAGAATGCTAATTTGCAGGAGGGTGACAACATTTCGTAAGGTTAAAATGCTACTCAAACTTTGTTCACACAGAAGTTTGAGTCCTGGCAGTAACATGAAATTGGCAATGACAAGTAAACTGGAAAAAAAAATTACATACACAGTTATACACGAGAACAAGTATATAAAGGCTAAAAATATTACATGAAAATCCATGTACAAATCCATGGAAACTATCAAACTAGTGACTGAATGGTTGGAAATACGATGTAACAGAACACAGCCATTACAAAAATGGTTTCTAAATGGGCTCTGGGACAGCACTTAACATCGTCTCACCAATAGTTCACACACTTCCAGATAAATGTAGGTCTAGACACTTTCTGCAAGGAATATAGCTTGCTTTTGTGCGTTAACAGGTCTGGTTTATCTTAATTTTGACAAATTATCATTCTTGCGGTTGATTCATTTTTACATCTCACATTAAGCATCTGTACACTTTTTGAAAAACTATCCCCCTATATGCCTGTAATGAATTGTGTAGTAAGGAAACACAAATCAAAAGAAAACAAAAACAACAAAAAGACAGAGTGTATAATAAAACTTAAAAGGAAAAAATTGCGCACCATTTGTAAAAATCAGCAGCATCAGCATCAGCTGGTGACTTCAAAATACGCTCCGTGTAGATGTAATCAAGTAAACCTTCAACTAGGGGTTTAGTAAAGGGAAGCCGAATAGAATTTTTAGCAGTCATCTGAAAAAAATATCCGTTTCAAAAATTACTAATTGAGAAAAGAGCAGCTTTAAAACTAAAATCTAAGCTGTAAAATTAAAGATTAAATTTCAATTATAAAAATTATCTGATTTAGAAATTAGAAGACTTCCTCTCCTTACAATCTCTCCAAATATTTTTTTCTGGCACCCATATCACTCGTCACTCACTTTGAGGACACTTTAAAGTTTAGTGTTTTAATTGATTTTTCAAATGTGTGATATAGACCTTACTGAGCATGAATTTTTCTCACAGCATGCTCTACCATACTGCTGTAAACGTGACTAGAGAGGCTTAAAATGGAAAAAAATCAGCTGCTCACATCAACCACTCAAAGCATCTTACATACCAATAAGCAACAGCACCACACCCTGTGTTCGTTCATATTTTACGATAAAAGAGATCAGAGATCAGAGATCACTGCACCTCATTGTCGGCTTTCTTTTTGTCTGTGACTCCTTTTAATATTGACACCATCATATGAATGAGTATGTAAAATTTCATAAAAAAATTCAAATTGATAGTATGTTTATGTTCAAGTTTTGCAATAATGCTCTGATGATGGCGTAAGCCAAAAGGTCCTTAAGTGAATTACAGAATTATATCCACAACACCTTGGTTCTATTTATCACCTTCAATACAAATGGTTCAAGTGGAATTCTATAAATCTTAAATGTTCGCTTAAATGCTTTAGATGTTAAATTTGTAACACAAAGACATGGCTTCAACAGCCAAAGTCTTCATAGCTACAATTGAGAGTTTTCACACAGATTTTCAACATTCTAGGATCTAAGTTCCAACATTTTTCTCCCCTGCTGATTGCTTAAGAATATACATATCGACAGTGTAAGTTGGCAATCACAAAACTCGGTTTGCAACATCGCAGACTTCCTGTCATCCTTTATTTTTTAATCAACGGCACTTCTTTAAAACTGCCGTGATTTTTCTTCTCTGGGCAAAGAAAATTCTGGAAAAAGCTTCAAGGAATGATGTCAGTTTGTTCTCTTTTAAAAAAATAACATAAAGGCGGAAATTTTCAGACCCCGCAAACGAGTTATGTGATCCCTAACTTACACCGTTGATATATTCTTCCAAAAGTGAATGCAAAGGAAGAAGAAAAGAATGCAAATAGGTTAAAAGAGTTATCAAAAGCAAAACCCCCTAGAATTTGTTTTTACTGTAGGTATGTATAATTATTACCTCTCGCCAAGAACCAGACAGCATGCATCGAAAATACTCCACTTTCGACAGCAGGACACACTTGTGAACCTTGATGCTGCACTTGTCACTGGTCTCGATGGTCAGGTCATAATACTCCGGAAAGTCAAACCTTGAGAAGGAACTTCTACACTCATTTTTCACTACAAAATACAGTTCCTTGCTGAGATCGCAAATCCTCCTTGAGGTTAAGTACTTCACAGCAGTCAGCCCCGGAAACAGATGAATCTCTGTGGCAAGTTTGTGCTGGTCATTTTCGAACTTGAGTAGGTCCATCTCGTATGCATCACCTTCTTGGATAGACTTCTCCAAGGCACAAGATCCGCTTTTTGATATCAGCCGGAAATCATTTGGTTCCAAACAGTAACCAATTTTTTTCTTTGCTTTATCACCTGGTTTTTTGACAATGAATCCGTTGTTGAACCTGCAACATAAATCGACATGTATTAGAACTTTACAAGAGTCAATACAATGGTGGCTATTTTTTTCTATCAGTAAAAACGATTTTGAGGCTTATGTAGTTTTCAGAAGTCACCAATTGAGTTGGTTGACAATGTCTGAAGCTGAGTCCAGTAAATCGGCAAATGCTATTTCTCCCACCTGGCTACATCATCGGAGCCGGTCCAAAATGTTGTTTCAAACAGGTCCTATTTTCGGCATTTCCAAAACAGGGTTTCTGTTTCTAGAGTCTTACAATTAGTTCACTACATACTTACAGAAAATAAATTAAAAAAATGGGTGCCACTGAGCCATTGAGGTTTTACTGTTCGAACTGCAAGTTTCACCAGGTTTGAAGTAAGGGAGCCATCTAAAAAAGCTTAATCATTTACCAGAATCACAAAAATCTTACCTATAATACTTTAGTGTCTTGACTAGTTCGGAAACCTGCAGTTTCCGAGCAGTATCTTCGAGAAGGACAATGGGATTGAATTTTCCTTCCACATTAATGCCACTCATTATCCTATGTAAAAATGGAAGAAGAGTGACATAAATTTACAAAAAATATAGAGGAAGGAACAGGAAAATGCCTAAAGTAGAGAAGTTCTTTTGAATTCAGTGTCTTTTCCATCTTCACATAGGTTTTGCTTGGTAATCTTGCAGCTGTCGAGCAAAACTGACGCATGAAAGAAAGACAAAATCCCCCATGAGCCTTGAAAAATTCAGATGAGACACCCCTACCCTTGATGCCTTTGAGGGCAACAGCACTAAACCCTCCTTTGCACTGTTCATCATCTTTGTGGAAGTGCAGATTTATTATTCCATTTCCTTGTAGTTAATAGGTATTCTTCGCTAGGAAGATTGTCAAACTACTGAATCCTCATGGTAATTGCAGTGGAATCTTGTTCCTCACTCAGAACATTACCTATCAAGCTGCTTTTTGGATCCACAGGTAATGAAAACAGGTAAGGAGCTGTTTTCATCTTACCTATGGACATCCAGGTGACGTGTGAGTGAGAAACAAGATTTCACCGCACGCCACTGAGTAATTGATACATTTGTAATTATTGATAAGTTGTTCTTGGGCATTGTGTGAATTACTACTAAAAATCTGGTAAACTATAAAATATAAACTGGTGCAAGAGGAGAAAAAATAATTGTTCAAATTTAAAAAAAATGTGAAAATCATGTCCACTTTGAAGCCACTGTACAAGACTTCTGAGAGAAGTTCATTTCAATTTTTAATTGTTTTAGAGTCTCATGTTGATGCAATTTTAGAATTGAAGAACTTGTCAGTGGAAGGGCATCATATACATTTAGTCACTATTTTGAAAATCAATAATACAGCTTTGACGCATCTTTGGAAATTAACCATCATATTTATGAGTTGATCCGACTATGCGGAATTAAAGGCCAAAAAAAGCAAAGTCACTTTCTAGAAACTTTAAATGCGTTTTGCTTTTGCCCAAAGACGCCTTTCTACAGGGAAACTCTTCAATTATTATGATTGTAAAGGTAAGAAAGCTGTAAGTCCATTCGGAATTCCTGAAATTTTTTCAAAGTTCTCATTTGATAGCACACCGTAAAATTTAGAGTATACCTCTCTGAGCACTTTCCAGGAACTAGAAGACTACAAGAGCCGGTGTACATATATTCTAAAATTTGAGCAAAAATTGTAGGCTCGATGTCTAAAAGATGCACAGTGTCCTCGTTACTGGGAAGAGACTTGATCAACTTATGCAGCTCTTTAGAACCTGCTGCTGCGATGACTTTATGTGCTGGAAAACGTTGCTGACCCACCTGGAATAAATTTATGTAAAATAAAGCATTTTGAAAAAAAGAAGAAGAGAAAAACACTTGACGATAATGCAGAAAAATGTACAGAGAGAAGCTTTGACAGCTCCATGCAAAAAAGGTTAATGTAAACATATTTATTCAATATTCTATTGAAAACTTATAGTCTGTCCAAGATGGGAAGAACCGGGGAAATTTGGAATTATTTGCACCGTTTCGCAGGGTGGGTGTGTTCCGACCGTCGTTAACTGTCGCTTTTCGGTGTTTCGTAAACGTTGCAGCCACCGCACAGGAGTCTATGGGCCTTGGAGCGGTTTTCCCCGGGATTTGAGCCCGAAGCCAAAAATTCCTGTGCTAGGTGCTGAGCGGCGCGGCGTGGCGTGGCAAGCAACTCATGAGGAGCCAGCCCTCTGTGCAGTGCGCCGTGATACAGGGTTGGTCTAGTGTCTTTATCTTACAATAGCTCAAACGCCACCCTTGCTTTTAAATAATGCAATTAATTCCGACTATCTACGGTTCTTCCCATCTCGGACAGACTATAGACTGAGTAAATGAAAATACTGTTTCTTTGAGATATATATAATTTTGAACAGCATTCTTGAAGGATGGCCACTTTTTGGGTTTTAATTTTAAAAGAGTTCACAAATGTATTCAAGTACAGGAAAGTTGCTGCTCAAAGCAGTAGGTACTTGATCCTCGTTTTTAAATGCATGATTACCATTGATTTACCAATTTATCTAACACATGTATTTACAGATGAAAATACATACCTCAAAAACGATGTCATGTAGAGAGCCAATTTCATTTGTTTCTCGAAGAAAATCAGCCATGAGAGCTGGAAACTCCGACTGCGCAATAGGAACAATAAAATCTACGTCTTTGGAGACACTTCTTGGACTCCGCTGTCAGAAAAATGTACCATGTTAAAATTATTTTTGGATTCATCATTTGACGAGTAAAATAAGGCAGCAACCAAGAAAAAACTACTAGGAATGAAAAGAAAGCAGATTCACAGTTATATTTTTGAAAAAATCACAGACAAAATGAGGTATAACAACGGTGTGAGTCGGTGATCACATAACTCCTTTGCAGTGTCCGAAAATCTCCGCCTCTATGTTATTTTTTTAAAGGAGAAAAAATTGACATCAATCCCTGAAGTTTTTGCAGAATTTTCTCTGTACAGAGAAGAAAAATCACAGCAGTTTTACAGAATTGCTGTTGAGTAGTATTGAGTATTGTGTTTAGTAATTTTCTTCTCTAAAGAGTGAACTTTCATCTTGTACATCAGTTTTAAAGGCTAAGTGATCCAGTAAATAGACCTACAAAATTACCTTGTCATGACCAAATTAGCAAAGAATTTTTTTTTTTTTTTTTTTTTGCATACATATAATTCTGCTAACTTTCCTCTGAATTCTTAAAGAAATACGAGGAAAACTTTTTTACTACCCACATTCTGTTAACATAAGTTCCTTCCTTACATGCAAGCTTTACTGCATTTTACTTTCAATGTCTTGGCAAGATTATGAAAAACAAACTTTCGGCCTCTTTTTTCTGTCTAAAAAGAATACAAGCTCATACCTGGAGCACTGCAAAGTTCTCCCCTTCAGGATCAGTGACAATATTCATTGCACGGTAAAGCCCTGGAACCCTCTTCAAATTGAGGAAAATTGTTCCATCCAGTTTAACATTTGGATGGAGCCGAGAGGAGAGGAGTTTCTTCTTTTCAGGAGTTTCTGAAAATTTTGAAACGCAAAAATAACTAATAATACAAAATCACACAAATACTGTTTACCTTAGTGAGTTCTGGTTGGAAGTGGATTTATAATCAGGGCGATTTTCCTTGTATTGCCAGGTTTTTTAAAGATTTGTTTTCCAGTCCAACAAATTTTCTATTGACCGAAAATTAGTATAAAAGCTGTTGCAAAATTTACATTGTTGACAGAGGTGGTAGAGACGAGAAATCCATAATTAAACATGAAGTTTGATGTTCAGAGGATTTCCAATATCAGTGTCCTAGAGTCAAACGGTGCCTGACTCCATTTTCGTCATTCTGAGATATTAGGGAATAACTGTGCATTGGTCTCATTGATTCCAATGTAAAGTGCAATTTTTGAAATTTCATAACTCATAATCAGCGTAAGATAGGGCTACCAAATTTTCCACACATACGGGGCTGTTAGTGGAGACTTTCAAATTGACACTAACTCTATTCTTTAAAAAATGTGAGTTAAATACATTTTGGCTCAGAGGCACTGATATGATGTTCAAGAGACAAACGACTTACTCTTAACTTTTCCTTTATGTTTTACAGAAGCCAAATAAACAATTCCTAGGTCAAAGACTAACGCCAAATGAGCGAGGTTGAAATGGATATCGACAATTTTCATTGACACTTTCACTGAGAACTGGCACCTGGAAGGGAAGATAAATTCATTGATTAATTAGCTGTAATTTTGGTTTATTTACTTCAAGTCATTATTGAATGTATTTTTTCAAAAAAATACCAAACTTGACCAGTTTGTTCTATTTTTACTGGTTACAGTAAATTCTAAAATTCAAATAGGAAAATTGGGCTTCTTGAGGGCTTTCACTGTACCTTTTACATTTAAAAATCAGAGTTGCCCAAGACAGGACACAAAAGGAAAAATTTGAACCTTCTGGCCACTCAGAAAAAAAATTTAAAACTTCAATTTCTCTTTAGTAAATTTGAACGAAAGCTGACAAAACAAGTATTTGCCGTTTTGATCCTTTTGTAACAGACTTAAACATAAATTAGGGAATTGTTTATTTGATATCGACAAGGTAAGTTGGCAATCACGTAACTCACTTTGCGACATTGCAGACTTTCTATAATATTTTATTTTTTAAACGGAAAACTAATCAACGGCAACTCTTTAAAACTGCTGTGATTTTTTCCTTTCCGTGCGAAGAAAATTCTGCAAAAACTTTCAAGGAATCATGTCAATTTGTTCTCCTTTAAAAAATAACATAGAGGCGGAGATTTTCAGACACCGCAAATGAGTTATGTGATTGCCGACTTACACCGTCGATATATTTAATTTGGAACCAATTGTTGATGTTACAAGCATCCAAACATGATTGAGTCTAAAAAGGCTCCTGATGAAATCATATTTTTATCGCAAAATGTGTTAGTTCAGTCATATTGGTCAAAACTAATGTTTTGATTACTAAAATTATGCTGCAATTTGCAACAAAACTAGAGGACGTGAAATCTTGCCTGGCAAAATTGGGACGAGTTTCACTCCAAACAAAAACTGAGTTATCCCCTAAAATTGCAAGCTTTAATTCTTCATTGCTTTGGTCTGTTTTTATCTTCAGCTGAGCACGGGTAGGATCTAGACGCCCACCTACAATAGAGATCTTTTGGACGTTCCCCACGATTTCATTTAACCTGCAATAATAAACAACACAACAGACTCAAATGAGCAAAACAAGTAATTATGATGGTCAGATACATGGAAGCACATTCTGACCCGGTAAAGGCCGATAATTTTGGATCATTTTATTTGATGATTAACACTGTGCAAATGCAATATAACTGACAACTATTCATTATTATTTTCATTTCTATATTGTACTTTTCAGCCTCTCCTAGAGAGACTGAGGTGGCCGTTAGAGTTTAAGCTAAAAACACAAGGTTTAGTAAAAATGTACAGAAAAATGTACAGTATGTCATGCATGCAATTTTTTAGGTACAACACTCTTCAGGTTTCAAATATTTTCTATTGTAGTTAAATGGATTCATTTTGGGGTGTGGTCTTAGTTTCCTTAAAAACTGACTTTTTTTTATGAGAAATTCTGATTTACTAACTTGGAAACCATTACTTCCTCGTTTACTTACAGTTCTAACTCGGAAATGTTCAATACTTTTACATTGTTTTACAAGAAATTTGATGGAAGCATGTATATAATAGTACTTAGTTCTGAACACTGCCTTGCAATTCATTGAAACTGAACACCTAAATATTAGTAGTTACTACAGAAATACTTTAGAAAGCCAGCTGCAGCAAAATTAATATTCCTGGTGACCAGTAGGTAACCACGGTAACTCATCAGAATACAGCTTGAGTATAGTACTTTACGTACGCAGCTGCTGCAAATATAAAAGACTTAATAAGAAAACAGCTGGCAAACTATGATGCGGTGTTGCCAAAATGTGGATTAGTGCATTCAGGTCTTATAAAAACAACTCTTAAGGGGCTGCAATTATGAGATGCTCCAATGATGCAATTTTTTCAATGTCCGTGACTCAAAATCAGATGATAATTCATGAAAGTCCTAGAAGACTTGAGTTATCCAGCAACAATTTTGACTTTACCGCAGCTATCTTTCTTGAGTTCAGCCATTACTACTTACCTAGATGATATTTTTTGGACTTTGTAATCACTGAGTGCGTAAACTTCACCCTGATTTGTGACTACAATTGTTGCTCCAGTGCTTGTTGCAACATGACTGATCTCACATCCACATTTCAGCGGAATTGATTTTACCTGTAAAGGAAATAATAATTCTAACAACAATGCAGTGATTGCATTCGAGATGGAGTATTAATGAGCTACATCAATCCTTTTACTCAAATTATGACTAAGCCAAAAAAGAAACTGATTAAATAACCAGGATAATCTGCGTAGTTTTTGGCCATATTCAAGTTCAAAGTATCTTCAAGGTTGATTAGATTCACATAGGCCTGCTGTCAAGGTTGGTTGCAATAATCTAGGGAATCTCTCGATCTAATCGGCCCACAATCTCAGAAGTTTCCCTAATCAGATTTTTTGGTTTTTAGTTCCATTGATGAACTAAAGTAAACAAGGAGGCAATTAAAATACAGCAACTAAATTGAAGAAACAGTCAGAATTAGAGCAACCCGATTCAAGCCAGAGGGTTGATCTGAATTTTTTGGTTTGATTTTCCTTGAGCAAGCATGAAATAAATTTTCTCAAAACTTTTTCTCACCAGTGCAGGATCATCAATTGTGAGGCGGTCTGAGAATTCAAGGCCCAGTTGTCCAGCATGAAGACCACATACAAATATCAGAGTCTTGTTCCAGAACACAGAATGAAATCTGCCAGCTGCAACTCCTAAAATCGTATAGTTTTTCGATAAATTTATCCGACGCGGCGCAACTAATTTCGGTGGTGGAGGTATGATGCCCAATTGGTGGTGGGTATTCAAACCACATGCATAAACCTGAAAAAGGAAATTACATAAATTAATGCATGCTTGCAGTCAATTTTTTGTTGTAAATGGTTTTTCAAGCCACTATCTGAACACAATTTTTTTCCTTAAAATGTGCTTTTTTCTGGTTTGATAAGCATTTTGTCAAATTAGAGTTGGGTATGTTTTATTTTTCGGGGTTGTCTAGATCAATTTTTGTCAGATGAGTATCAGTGGTCTTTTTTTCAATTTCCAAAGCTCTGATAGCGCTTTTGACATGTTTCTTGACTTTTGATACGTAAAACTTGATGAAAAGAGATACTCCTTGAAAAACTCAAGATTTCTCATTTTTTCTACCTTGACTTTAACAAAATAATGTCATTTAAACTCTGTTGATATACGTTAAACTCCCTTCATTGATTTAACTGTAATATCCTGTTGTGAGAATTTTTCATGACTTATTCATATTAATTTCAATTGCAAGGGAACTTACCGCACCAGACTCAGCAAGAAAAACTGTATGGTCTCGACCAATGCTGATGGATTTGAAGACTTCCGCAGGCTGTGTTTTGATCTGCTGGGGTTCAAGGGCTGTCTGCTCTGAGATAAGTCCGAGTCTTCCTCCAAGACCGTGCCCAGCAGCCCAGACCCTCCCATCATTGCTCAGAAATACTGAGTGAAATTTGTCAATACAGACCTGCAAAAGAAAGGATGCTCTCAACTTTACATGGTTCAAATTTCCTTTTTAAGGGATTTTGCTCTTTTAACTATAATACTTTCTTATACCTAATAAAATTTGGATCTGAAGTTAAAACAATTTTAAAAGATTTTTCAAGATCTCGTATTATTGATGGATTTACCTACTTCTATTTCTATAAAAGTTTGAATGAACAGCACTTACTTTCTTGATGATAATTCTTTGCTTGCGAAAAAACTCGTGAACGACTGGATTAGAGCGACTAGTTTCCGAGCCCATTCCCAAAACATAATTATTATTGCTACCCCAAACAGAGAAGTCAGAAGGTGGGAGGCTCAAGTCTTCTTGATCCAAGAGAGCATGATCTAATGGAAGTAATCCATCTTTATCGACGAGAGAGATGTCTGCCCCAAGCTGAAAAAAAAAACAACAAAGTGGATAAATACTTTAATGCCATAGAATGAGAGAATGATACAAGTGTAGGCGTTTATATGAGATTAATTTGATATAACTTTAGAATAAACAGATGCTTTGCTTACATTATTTAATCTTGCACATAAAAATCAAGTTGATGTTTCGTCCCAATTTGTAGATGGAAAAAATTATTTGATACAAACTCTAGTGTCCATTACTCAGGCCTGACTAAAATTGGTGGCTTTCAACCTTCTTCTCGACACGTTCACCTGTCACTATTCCAAATCACTTTCTTTTACTTCTTTTCTCTTTACCATTGCATAAAATTTTTCATCAGATTTTCAAATTATGAGTGCTCTGCAAATTCATTCCTAAATGTTAGACGTCGAATATTGCAAAAAAACTGACACATCACTCATATCAAATGGTGAAGATGTACATCGTTCGGAATGATTAAACCCCTCTCAAATTTTGCCTCCTCCAAGTGATGGGTATTCAAGTAGCTTATGTAGCCATGCATTAGTGTGATGATAAAAATTAAAGTTTGCTTGAATATTTGTTGAATTTAGCATCCGTTATTGCCAGAAGTGAACTTTGAACCTTACGACTGACTATTGTCCTCACCCTCCACATTTGGAGCATATATTTTAGTGGAGTCCGAGACTAGCCAGTAGACCACTTTAGCCACTTCACTCTTGCAAGATGCAACATTAGAAGGTAAACATGACTGATTTTAGATTATAAAATTTTAAACATAATGAAAAATTAAAATCGAGTAATTAATTGAAACTGAAGTTAGAACTCATATCAGATACGTAAGCCATTCAAGATTAAGCTTTACCGTATCGGACCAATTTACAAAATTGCTTGCAGTGACACTGCCATCAGCAGTCAACCCTTCATTGCTACCGATTGATGGCAGTGAAATTACTTACAAATACAGAGAAAAACTGCCAACTTATCTGACACAAGTTCTCAGCGATTCCAGAGTTTCTAGGATGAAACTAAAGCTTCGGCAGATTCAAGTCTACTCACCTGAATTAATTCAACAGCCACATTAAGCTTGCCATAGAAAATGCTCCTATGGAGTGGAGTAAATCCAGACTCTAGGTCCAGCTTGTTGATGTCTGCTTGTATTACTTTGATAAGCCACCGACATAACTCCACTCTGCCACAGGATGCTGACATATGAAGCGCCGAGCATCCTTCCTTATTGGTTTGCTGAAAGAATACAGGGAAAGATTAATCAGTGTATTAACAGAAACAACCCATGAACGGAGTGAATGTTCCAACATACTTACAGTAGAGTAATCGAAAACTATAGTGCGAGACCTAGTATCTCCGTTTGCTATGTTGTAGACTTTCCGTCATACTTTAATCGCCATAATTTGAAAACTTCCATGATTATTGATCTCTGTTAGTAGAATATTCTGTATAAATTTCAAGCTATAAAGCTGAATTGTTCCTCTTTGTAAAAATAAACTACTTAGGAGACAAGATTCTGAAACACCGCAAAGGAGGTATGAGGTGTCGCACTTCAGCCATTAACATAGGTAAGACAGCGCAACTTCGGATGATGCTAACAAACTAGTGGTCGAATGCTTTGACACACTGTCAGTAAAATTCGGCAAAATTGAAAAGGGAAATTGCCAAAATCATTGTCAGATATCTGACCCTGTTTGGATAAAAAAAACCTCATAAAGGTGAGATACACAGCAAAAGGGTGAACTGAATCAGCTTTAAAACAATTATTTCCTCAATATTCGTGCGCTATCTTTCGGTAAGGACTTACCTTCTAAAATGAGTACTTTTGCCATAAATATGAGCTATTTATAGAGCATTGCGATGAAGATTCATTCTGTTCATTGGAAATTGCAACAGGCATTAAAGATAGCTCTCCAGCGATTCTGTTTCCCAGTCAACAGCTAAGTGGAGGTAGGATTTCAAAAAACGATATTTCGTTCGTCTACGATGGTTGACAGTAAAGCTATATGCATTAAGAGTCTGATGAAAAACGTTAAAAATACAGTTAAGAACTGGAAATTGTAAGCACAAACCTGTTTTAAGCCTGCACACAAATTGTACAGGTATACGGCGAGTTGCTGATCAGCGATGCCTCGCTGAGTAATAGCGCTGATTATCTCAATTCCATGCTGAGTGGATTTGCAAGACTCGAGACAATCAGATGATATTCTTGGGTGTTTGGGCATTGCAAAGACCCAGCCAGTTGATGCTGAAGTTGTGAAAATTCGATCATAAAATTTGAACTAACGTAAACAAAAAATCAAGGAGGTTATCCTGGAGCAGAAAAGTTTCAAAACTTCAGGATACTAACAGAAATCAATCTTGAAGTAAGTTGATACTGGTGGTGAAAACAGTCGGTATTTTCTTAAAGGCAAATTCCAACGTCAAAGCACTTAATTCTGATTTTCTAAGTAAATTATTCACCCACCAACACTAATTACTGTCACTGACCGAATTCGCAATACTGATAACACAACAGTAACAATAACACCACGAATGTCAACAGTGTCAACAGAGCAAAATTGCCAAACTTACTAAAAAAATTCAATGTTGCCGCGTGGTGCCGAACGGGCTGAGTGCTTTGCTCTAACAATAAGTGTTCGTAAATAATTTCTGTGTACTTAAAATCTGTTACACTCTACCATTTGACAAAATATAATATGTATTTAGGTAATTCCCTGCCTATGGTGTACAAGTTACTCAAGGAAGCCAGTTTTCTGAATAAGTTTTAATACCGGCATGACAACCCAGCAAATTGGCGGAGTGAGCGGCGATGTAAACAAATACCTTCAGTCGCGGCTGATGATGGGAGCTAAGGTCCCGAAACGCGTCCCGTTATTTTAAAACAATTTTTACGCAAGTGAGTGTGTTTTTATCTTTGTGTTTTTAAAGAATTCTGAATCACTTTTTGACGACTCACGGAATTGGATCGCAACTAAAGCTTCTATACAAATTTTAGGTAAGTACCTATGAATATAAACGCCGATCAATAGCAGGTTCAAAACGCATCTCGTGATCAAATTTCATTTTCAAATCATACAATGATTGATCTGGCCATATGAGATCAAACTGAATCTTATCTGATAAGGAATTTTAAGCGTGAAACTCTTTTTTCAGTTTTTAAATGATTCAAATCCGCCAACAACAGGTTTAAAACGGTAATTGCAAAAATGTGTATCTCGTGATAAAGAGTGAATTCTTGGTGCCAAAAACGCGAATCGGCATTTCTGCCGTATTTTCTAATACATGTAGTTCGAGAAAGTATTCAAAATGCTGATGGAGTCTGAAAAAACATCCTATTCTTATTTACCTCAAGAACTATTACCCTTCTACTATCAATAAAGAGGAATGTAGACAGTTTTTTTACACTCCTGGAAAATCGTGTTTTCCGAGGTATGCACTTCTGCACTTTCACAGTTTACAGGTCTGATACCTGCAGTTTCAGATTTAACGAATGTCATTGCGCGTTAATATTTAGAATTATTACCTCTTATGGCGGGGTTTTGAGTGTTTTAGTTTAATCACATGCATCAAAATTAAAAGGATATTTAAGTATTGGAAAGGACGTTAGGTTCAACATAAGCTTGAACAGGAATGGTCAGAGGTATGCCAAGACACATGCTGCCGTGGTAAGAAAAAACACCGTACTTATACATGCACTCGAAAGGTGCCAAATTTCCTCCCGGAATATATTAATTCCTGATGAAAGGTATGAATATTACTTCTTGAAACTTTTAGGCAGCCTAGATAATTTACGAACAAAATTCGCTGAAAAATCCGAAGAAATAAAATATCTATGAATTTTTCCGAAAATTCATTGTTTGTCTGAGGAGATTTGGCAACGTCTGAAGGATCACACGGCGTTTTTCCATAGCATATGGCTGCATGGCACACTCTCAAGCTGAATCGGTTTGATACGGATGAATTTTTTTTTTTTTTTTTTTATTTTTTTAAGTATAAAATGTATTCTCCTAGTGAAATTTTCCAAGCCTAACTTTTTTGGACCTAAGCACCATTGTGTGCTCTTTCATTTACTTCATGTTCATGTTCATGAATGTCTGGGCGTTTATTTTGAAATTATTTTTTAAAAATGCACAGGAGTTCAACTTTCAAAAATTAATAAAAGAAATTTTTCAGAAATTACAAATGCAGAAAAGAATTAATAAAGTTTTTGGCCCGATTTTTCTTTAAAAGTCTACTCCATTCCAGTGTCAAAGAATTGCCAAAATACGTCCAAAATTAATCAGAAAGGCATTCTTTGGATGAGGGGGGGGTGGGAGATGAAATGTGCTTCAGAGCACCGAGAAAATTTCTGCATAAGTAGGTATTCCGGATTTTGATTGTTCGGTTCACCCACAAAACAATGCTCTGCACACGTCTGTGTTCATAATTCCAGTGCGAAGTTTGGAATACATAACTTGCGTAACTTGAATTTCAATGAATGAAAAATAATGTATTAGAACGACAAAGTACCATACGCATACGCGCACAAATTTAAGGAACCCCGTCGAAGTGGCGAAAAGTCAGGGAGGTACATTAATTGGATCAGGTGCCTAAGATGAGCAAGATAGATGACTTTGTTCAAGTTTATTATCAAAAGGGTTGTCAGGTGTGTGCGAATTATAGATTTCGGTTATTATTTTAAACCGGCTTAGGATGAATACCGGCTGACGGTGACAAAAACTTCCGCACACAGGTCTTTTTTTAGGCATGTAGGATCAAAAGAATGAAATACCAAAAAATGCCCATTTTTTTATTTTCTCTTATATTTGTATTGTTTTTGTTTTCTAACTTGCTGGAAACTGAGTAAAAAAAAGAAAAAGGAACGCAAAAAACATGTTGGCCCCTAATGAAATCAGGGCGTCCACTAATCCAAAATTTCCGGAAAGTCGGAAGTTCCTGATTTTTAAGGGCAGTCTGGAAGTACTGAGAAAGTGTGGAAATCAGAGGCGGATCCAGCAATTTGGCAACACCAGATTCCTCCATTTAAACCTATGCTAAATAATCGATTCTTGTCAGAGCACCTGGCCCCTCGAAGAATCGATACATTTCCACAAGTTTAAATGGAGGAAATCCGGTGTTGCCAAATTGCTGGATCCGCCAATGGTGGAAATTCCGCAAAAAAGTCCGGAATTTTTTCCTTCATACCACACGTGTTTTTTGATAAAGCCTGGAAAGTATACAGTCCTCTGAGTGTTGATTCTTAGCGTATATTTGCCTGCAAGATTGCGATTGTGCAGTCGGTTTCTTCAAGCCACCAATGAAATTCTGTGTCTACGTCATTTTTGTCGCAGTTCGAGCGAGAATTTCAAATTCTCGATTTTTTTCGAACTTCGTTAAGTGGAGGTACTGAAATAGTACTGAATTTTTCTTTTGAGAAGGAACTGGATTCCCTGGGAATTTACTGAAAAAGTGCTGATTGTTGGCCAGCCGGTTTTTAGTCAAAACCCTAAAACTATTGAGAAATATAGTGCTAATATAAGCTTTATAGGTTTGAGCCATTATGCATAATGCGCCGCAGATTATGGTGCTTCATCAGCGAAAATCTAATATCCGGCGGGTCTTCATTTCCCCGAATGCATCAAATCGGCTGTTACGAAGTCCCGCAAAAGTTCAGATTAGAGCTGAGCTTCGACATAATTTTAGCTTCCGTGAAAATGATAATCCCTCAAAGCTCGATCAAACTTCAGAGCGTGGCTCCGCGCACCGGCTGCAGGAAAAAAATCAGGGCGACTCGCCGCCACGCACCGGGGGAAACACCACAACCAAAGATTGGCCATGGCATTGATTGAAGATGCGAGGCATGGCTATATTCAAAAGGCGGGTTTTGCACCTAATCTAATCTCACCGTGTGAACACCGAATTGAAATAAAATTAGAGGCTAGTTCAGGTTTCTAGTCCTCTCAATACAGCAAGTTGCACCGCGCGCCTTCAATCCGCGCGAGAGACGCAATTAGCGTTGCGGCGCTTTGAAGTAGGCACGATTCCCGATTTGTTTTTTTCTTAGCTGCAGACTGATATTGAAATTGATGGACAGAGTCACAGAAAAATAAAGATATAAAGGGAAAATGGAGCGATTCTATTATGGTGTGGTGTGGTGTGATTCGATTTATATCGATATTTCCTCATTTGAAGCTATGGTAAAGAATCGACTATTAAGGTGTTCGCTGCAAACACCCTGTTTATCGATCCTTTCCATAGGTTTAAATGGCATAACAATCGATATATCGCAATTCAATCCACTAGTAGATTCGTGAAGTTAAGGCTAGTTCAGGTTTCCTGTCCTCCTAGTTCAGCAAGCTGCAGCAGCGCGCGCCTTCAACCCGTAAGAGAAACAATTTGTATTGCAACTCGTTGTTGTGAAGCACATTATCCGAATTTTTACCCCCTCAGCTATAGGCTGATATTGAAATTGATAGACGGAAAGATGGACAAAATAGACTAAGAGAAAATGGAGCTCTCGTATTATGGTGGGAGCCGATGGTTTTCATAGATCAAAGGGGAAAATTATGTCCTAACTTTCTAGGGTCTCATGTGGGCTGCCGGTAGTGTCTATAGCTTTGTCTATGAATTTGAATAATCAGCCCGCTGGTGTGTGCCACCGCACTTCAAAACCAACTAAAAACTTGCTGTGTTGTCGGGCTGACTAAAAATGCTTATTTTACTCGCCCAACATCAGTGAGGTGAAAGCCGAGCAGGGAGCATTCGTAAAGTACTTAACGCACTTTTTCGGCATTTTTTACCCCTCCCCTTTTGTAATGTAGGTCCCTATCCATTTGCACGTAAAAACAAAATGTTGTAACGCTCTCATTGACCCCCCTCCCCTGGAGCGTTACGTAATTTATGGACGGCCCTTACGCTTGTCTACCCGGGCAAAAAATAAGGTTAGACAGATTTGTTGGAAAAAAAGAGCTTTTAAAGAAAGGAGCCCTTTGTGCGGATTGTGCTTTAAGCTTTTATCGGGGCTAATTAGTGAGAGGCAATCATTGATCGCGAGCCTAACTTTCAACTGCCTCGACGAGGACATCCATCAAATTAGCTTCAGTTTTGAACTTTCGACGAATTGAGATTTACCAATTTGGCCTGGAGATAATCCTCGCTGGTGAGACAGCAGGGTCTGTTTGCTCGTTATGGATTGTTTGATGATTTTGTAGCGCCATGTCAAACTCCCCAAGTTGAAGAGGAAAGTAAAGACTTATAAAACTTCCACCCCGGGTTTCTTCGAGTCGGTGCGAATGGGATATGGCTGAAAGTTTTTTTAATGCTTTCTTCATTTTTATTCATTTCTTAATGCTTTTTATTATTGTTGTTTCATTTTATTTTTTTAAATATTTATTATCCTTATCTGAAAGAATCCTGCGGCAATTTCTTCTTCAAGAAACCAGGTTATCTTTGCCGCTCGCTCAGACAAGGTCTTGTGATAGTTTTACTCTAAAATCCAGGATCGCGACGTGCTTCGCGATATATCGTTGATCTGTCGTTTAAACC